TATTGTATACATTATATTTCACCAACTTTAACCCGATCCATCTTTGGCACTGTTTTTCGGGTACCCTCTCATACGCTGGGTCCATAGGTTGTGCACTTTTGCTCTGGTACACCATCTTTATACCCGGTCCATAAGTTTGCAGCTGTTGCTCTGGTAAAACCAGCTTCATTCCCCGATCCATAAGTTGTGGTGCACTGTGGCTCTGGTACACCAGCTTCATTCCCCGATCCATAAGTTGTGCAGCTGTGGCTCTGGTACACCAGCTTCATTCCCCGATCCATAAGTTGTGCAGCTGTTGCTCTGGTACACCAGCTTCATTCCCCGATCCATAAGTTGTGCAGCTGTTGCTCTGGTACACCAGCTTCATTCCCCGATCCATAAGTTGTGCAGCTGTGGCTCTGGTACACCAGCTTCATTCCCTGATCCATAAGTTGTGCAGGAGGAGAATCTCCAGATTCTCCTCCACCATGAAGCTGTGAACACTAACTCCAAGGCCGAGGGACTGATTACCTCATCTTTTGTATATAGTTCTACTGTCTTCCTATTATGTCCTAGAATCTGTATTGATAAAGCCACTGGATGGCGAAACGTCTACTACAATAAAGATATCCAGATGTTGCACATGTGTCTTAACTTTCATAATGTGCAGCTGTTGCTCTGGTACACCAGCGTCAGTCCCCGATCCATAAGTTGTGCAGCTGTGACTCTGGCACAGCATCTTCATACGTTGGTTCATAGGTTGTGCAGCTGTAGCTCTTGTACACCAGCTTCATACCCTGGTTCATAAGTTGTGTAGCTGTGGCTCTGGTACACCAACTTCATACCCTGGTTCATATATTGTTTTGGTTTTTCGATAGTTTTTATCTTTGCTTAGCTGATGCTGGTGAGGAACTCTTGATCTCAGGAATCGGAGCTACTTGATCATTCCTCGGACCAAACCTGATTGCCTCTCATATCCCAGGCATTATATGATCCTTATGGGGTTAACGTTTCTCTGTGAATATAATAGGAACAGTAGTACCGCCGCCGCGCAATTAAGTGGTAAATGTGGGAACGCAGACATAAGGCCCTCTGTATACTTCATTTGAAGCGCTAAACCAGTATGGGTCATCGAGCGAGCCATTCAGGAGTAATGAAGATAGATTTGTAGATGAATGGTTCAGAGAACCGACATGTTGATAAATTAGACACATGTACAACTCTTGGGTATCTTTATTGAGGAAACGTTTCGCCACACAGTGGCTTCATCAGTCCATACAAAGGAGAATCTTGAAGAACAGGAGGAGAATGAGGTAATCAGTCCCTCAACCTTGAGTCGATGTGGTCAGTCCATCAATCTTGAATAGAATACGGCATACGTGCTGAGAAGGAACTTATAAACCTTTGTATGGACTGATGAAGCCACTGTGTGGTGAAACGTTTCCTCAATAAAGATACCCAAGAGTTGCACATGTGTCTAATTCAACAAGGTCCCTCTTGAAGACAGCCAGAGGTCAGCTAGTAATCTCCTGGATGTATACATGATGCGAGGCTGTTGAATAGTCTTGGGACCCTTATACTTATTGCGTTGTCTCAGTGTACTAGCGGCACCCCTGTTTTTCATTTGAGGTATTTTGCACCGTCTACCAAGCTCCTTGCTGTCGTAGAGAGTGTATCTTTCTCTTATGCATTCCAAGGAGAACAGGTGATGGGACTTAAAACGTTCCCAGTAATTTAGGTGCTTGACTGAACATATATGTGCAATGAAGGTTCTCTGTGCTTGGCCCTACTTTACGGTGTTGTTAGTGAGAGTAATATTGCGTTGTGTGAAAAAAATGGAACAAGTGACTTAAACCCCACAATCACTGACTTGGCATCTCTTGTTTTGAAGCTTTTTATCTACCCTATCATTTTCCTCCCCATCCCCTGCAATCCACCCCTCACTCCCCAACCCCCTTCACTTAACCCCCTCACTCCCCAACCCCCTTCACTTAACCCCCTCACTCCCCAACCCCCTTCACTTAACCCCCTCACTCCCCCTTTTACTAAACCCATGCAGTCTACCTCTCACTCCCCAACCCCTGCAGTCCACCCCTCAACCCCTACAGGCCATTCCCCTCCACAACCCCTACAGTCCACTCCCCTCCTCATACCCCTGCAGTCCACCCCTCACTCCCCCCAACCTCTGCAGTCCACCCCCCTCTCAACCAACCCCTGCAGTTCACCCCCTCACTCCCCAACCCCTACAGTCCAGTCCACTCCCCTCCTCAACCCCTACAGTCCAGTCCACTCCCCCTCCTCAACCCCTACAGTCCACTCCCCTCCTTAACCCCTATAGTCCACTCCCCTCCTCAGCTCCTACAGTCCACTCCCTTCCTCAACCCCTGCAGTCCACCCCTCACTCCCCAACTTCTGCAGTCCACCCCCTTCACTACCAACCCATGCAGTTCACCCCCTCACTCCTCTACCCCTACAGTCCACTCCCCTCCTCAACCTCTACAGCCCACTCCCCTCCTCAACCCCTACAGTCCACTCCCCTCCTTAATCCCTATAGTCCACTCCCCTCCTCAGCTCCTACAGTCCACTCCCTCAACCCCTGCAGTCCACCCCTCACTCCCCAACTTCTGCAGTCCACCCCCCCCTTCACTACCAACCCCTGCAGTTCACCCCCTCACTCCCCAACCCCTGCAGTTCACACCCCTCACTCCCCAGCCCCTGAAGTTCACCCCCTTACTCCCCAACCCCTGCAGTTCACCCCCTCACTCCCCAACTCCTGCAGTCCATCTCCCCAACCTCTGCAGTGACCCCCTCACTACCAACCTCTGCAGTCCACTCCCCCCATACTACCAACCCCTGCAGCCCATCCCCTCACTCCCCACATCTTTACCCCTCCCCACCATACCAAGAGCTTGTGTACTTTCTACATGATGCCATCAAAGCGCTGTACGTGGCGGCGTACTTCTTGCTACACCTACTTCATGACAGGTGTGTGTGAATGCGCACGTGCACAGTACTCATACAGTCGTAGTGTTGTATCTTATCTCCTGACCCCGCCGCCTCTCAGTTACTCTGAGCCACATATTCCTGACCTATCTCACTGACAATAATAATTTTTATTTAGCATGATACATGCTTGTACAAAGGAGTGTAACAATTTGGTGAACATGCCGAAAGACACTTTATATGCAGATCATTTCGGGCAAGCTTAAGACTAACTTAAGATTAATAAGGCAATAACAGTGGTCATTAAGTGAGTTACAGTGAATACAAGGAAATTAAATATTCAACTAGTTCACGCTATTTGGCTTTAATAAGTTCGGTAGAGAAGAATTACAGTTTTGATATAGTATATAAAAAATACAGTATTACAGTTTAGCACAATTTACAACAATGAAGGTGAAACAGTTTTAAGTTTGAAGTAATGATTAAATAGTTGAGCAGTCATCATTTACAATTTACAAAATTGTTAGCTCCACTGCAAGTGAAAAAATGCTTTCTCACATCTTTGCATCTCATTCTTGTCTTTAACTTTCATGTTCCCGCTCTGTCTACACTCCCTGTTCCGTCTATGTCCCCGGTCGCTCGCTGGCTCTCTCCCACGAGTCCGTCTACCCTTGCTGTGTAGAGCAGTAGATTCTCTATTAATTTCTCTTGTTCCCAAGACTATCCTCATTGTAACTCTGGAGTGTCCACAGTTTCTGGACATGTTTGTGCAGGTTCGGGTTTTATGTGCTGCTGTTGCGTACTCTGTTATCTGTCTGACGTACATATACAGGGTTATGAAAGATTATTTCTTAAGGCACATAAATGTAGTTCTGTGTTTGCCAGGCTCGTATACGCTGTCGTGGTTATGACACACTACAGTCTTACAAGACACACTACAGTCTTAGAAGACTCACTACAGTCTTACAAGACACAGTCTAGTCTTACAAAACACACTACAGTCTTACAAAACACACTACAGTCTTACAAGACACACTACAGTCTTACAAGACACACTACAGTCTTACAAGACTGATATACTTGGTGCTATTATTACTCTTTTCATCTGTCAAAGGTTTGTAACCTCTTTCCCAAATATGTATACCATGTGGTGTTCTCTCTCCTATGTTTTTCACCCTGTTACACTTTCTGGGGTTGAAGTACTATAACCACATGTATGACCACTCCTGCAGCCTAAGAACTCTGATAGCTTTGCTCTCTCTCCTTTACGTATAACTTCGTCAATATTTATGGAGGCTTGTAAGACATCACTCGTCATGCTCGTTTATTCTGAAACAACTTCCCACACCATTACTCCGTTTCCTTCTGATCTGATATTCATTATTTCAGCGAAGTACATTTTCGTTATCTTTGCCTACTCTTCCACTGTGTGAATTAGTCGCTTGTGAGGAAAATGTCGAGTGCTTTCTTACAGTTCAAAAATATGCACTGTACCTATCCCGCTTGTTCCTATTTAACCTCTGTTACCTTCCCTGTGTTTAAAACAAAGTATATGGTTCTCTAAGTGTTCCACCACCCTACCTGGAGGGTGTTCCAGAGGTCAATGCCCCCGCGGCCCGATCCATGACCAAGCCTCGAGGTGGATCAGGGACTGATCGACCAGGCTGTTACTGCCGCCGCACGCAATCAAACATACCAACCCTGCTGATCAGTCACTGACTAAATATGTACCAGCTTCCTTTTGAAGACAGCTAGAGGTCTATTGGTAACCCCCTTTATGTATACTGAGAGATAGTTGAAGAGTCTTTCGCCCCTGACACTTATTGTGTTCTCTTTTTTCGTTGGAGGGAGGGATGTTGCACCGCCTGCCAAGTCTTGTTTTCGCAAGGAGTGATTTCATTGTGGATATTTGAGATTAGTCCCTTTAGGATTTTCCAGTTGTAAATTATGATGCATATTTCTCGCATTAGTTTCGTGGAGTACATATTGAGGGACTTCAAACGTTCCTAGTAATTGAGTTATTTGGCTGTACTTGTATGTGCAGTGAAAGTTCTCTATATTCTCCAGATCTGCAATTTCGCCTGCCTTGAAAGGGGCAGTTAGTGTAGTATTTTTTCCTAAGAAAACCCAAGGGCCCTTGGGAGGATCATCTTTGGGTTTGGGGTACTAAAAAGATATGGGGGTTTTGGTTTTCCCGTACTTACCTAAATTTTGCATCAGCAATGTTGCTTTCCGTTCCAGGAGGGTGGTGGCATGCAGGCAGCATTTAAAGGTGTGTGGGAGAGGGAGGTCCTTGGGTGTGGCAGGGAGGTGCGCAGGTGCTTCGGGGTTAGATCCGTTCCCCTTCCCCCCCCCCCCCTTCCCCCCCTCTTCTCTCTCTCTCCCCCTCCCCCCCCATTCTCTCTCTCCCCTCTCTCTCCCCTCTCTCTCTCTCTTTCTCTCTCTCTCCCCCTCTCTCTCTCTTTCTCTCTCTTTCCCCACCCCCCCAAAAAAACACACACAAAAACACCCCACCCCACACACAGGGTTTAAACAAGGTTAGGTTAAGGACCCCTACTTTTTGACAAGATATTTCCCGGTTTTAAAAGGTTTCCAAACCCTTTATTGAAAGCTAAGAACTTTTACCTAATTCAGCTCTTTTAAAAGGGCTTTTTTTTTGGGTAATGAACATACAATAGGGAACAGGATGAAGTTGGAGCCTTTCTGTGGGCCGCATTTTCTTTTTAAATCAACGACTTTATCTCTTTTGCATCAAAAATGCTGTAAAAATTTGGTGTTCCCATACTGGGGTCATCGGGGGGAAAATATCTCAAAAAGTGATTTTTCGGGAAAAAGGGGTACACCCGGGAGTGAAGTTGCTGTTTTAACTCCCCTTTCTTGTGGTTTTAAAAAGGCTTCCCTTCACGCTGTCCTCGAATTTGGGACCCCAAGGGGTGGAAATTTTGACAAATTTTGGGCCTTTTTCTTAACAGAAAGGGAACCCCCCCCCCAAAATCCTTCCTGTTTTAAACAGCACTGCAAAAATGACGGGATCTATCCGGGGTTTGGGTTTCCGGGGGAGAGATGAGAGGGTCTTGCTTGTTCCTACTCTGTCAAATCATCCCAAAAGGAGGGGGGGGGGGCAGGCCCGAAGGGGGGGAGATTCTCGGGGGGTGAGGTAGGGGGCCCCTGGGTAAAAATTTGGGGAATTCCCGGGGGGCCCGGCAAAGCAAAAACGGAAGTCCCTTTTTGCCCCCTTTTTTGGGGGGGGTTTCCCCGGCCTTTAGGTGCCGGAAATTTTTTGGATTAACCCTTTCCCGGGAAAATTTTACCACATGAAGGGCATTTTTGGGCCCCTAAAAATTTTGGTTTTTTCCGGTGCAAATTTTTAAAAACCCCATTCCTCCCTTTTGAAAAGGCTCACGGGAGGTAATTGGGGGAGGCAGTGGTTTCCTTTGGGGGGGGGGGAAGGGGTTTTTGGGGTGGGGCTTTCCCGCGGGAATTTTGGATAATGTGGTTTTTGGGGAAAATTATTAAAAATGGCCCCCCTTTTTCCTTGGAAATTGAAGGGGCCGTAAAATTCCTTTTCCAAGGGGGGAAAACCCTTTAAAAAAATTTTCCTTTTTCTCCCCCCCCCCCGCCCCCCCCCCCCCCCCCCCCCCCCGGGGTTTTCCCTTTCTTTGGGGGGCCCTCCCCTTTTTTATTTTTTTTTTCCTTTTTTAAAGGGTTTTGAAAGGAAGGAGGGGGGGGGGGGGGGCTTAAGGGGGGGCCCATCAATTTACGGGGGAAAGGACCCTAAATTATTTGGCGGGCCAAGGGCCGTTTTACCCTTTTAAAAACCCACTCTTTGACCAAGCTTTTTTTTGGGGTTTGGGGGGGGAGACCTTCCCAATTTGGGGAACGGAAAAAGGGTTGGACCCCTTTTGGGGGCCCGAAATTTTCAATTTGAACCCAACCCTGACGTTTTCTCGTTGGGACACTTTAGGCGGGAACGAATGTTTCCCTTTTAACAGTCACCCTGGGTATGAAAAGGTTTCTCGGGATGGAAGTGATGTTGGGGAAAAGGGGTTTTACGCCAGAGGGGAAGTTGCTGCTTTCTGCCCGCCCTTAGTGGAAAAAAAAGGGTTTTGTTTCACGCTGCCCTTGGGAAGTGGACCCAATTTTTTGGGTATTTTGCCCAATTTTGGCCTTGTACATAACGTAAGGAAACCCACATCCCTCCTTTTGTTGAAGGCCTTCTGTAAAATTTGGACAGATCAAAACCGGGAGGGGTTTCCAAAAGAAAAGTTGGGGGCCGTTTTGTTTCTGTTCTCTACTCTGTCAACCCAAGGTCCCATGAAAAGGGGGGGCCAGGAAAAACCCAAAAAGTGGAAAACCCTAAAAGGTGTGAGCGTACTTGTGCCTCGTACGGGAAATTCTTGCCCCCCCTACTTTTCAAGCAGTTTGGCGAGATATGGGAATGCTGTAAGCTTCCTGGCTGCCTTGTTTGCAAGTTTTAACAACATGGTTCTTTCATGGTTATTTTAGTAAAATTTTAACCCCAAGGAAAACAACTTCTTCTCCAGGTCCCAACATCGCCCCCATTCATCCTTACAATGCACCAGCTTTAAAAACCATCATGGTGCCTAGAGACGATAAACATTTGCGTTTTTTTTCCAGGTGCAAATGTTCCCTTTGCCATCTTTTTTCCCCAAGTGTTTATCCTCAGCTGGTAAAATTGTTGTACTTAGGCACCGGGGCTTTTCCCTTTCTTTTTGGATAAGTGAAGGGCGGTTTTACAGACGTCTGCTTTTCCCATGTGATTCTGGGATGAGATGAAAAAGGGGGGGTTTCGTTTGAAGTAGACTTTCCATAACATTGGCCCGGGAAAACACTTCCTTGTGGAACGTTTCCCCCAAATTTGGAAAGGGCCTTTGCTGTTTTCCTTTCCCTTTGGGACTACCTTAGGATCTACCAAAAGGGAAACACTGAGGGCATGCGTGGGAGCCGAAATTTCCCCAAGTGCTTGAATTTTTTGCAAAGAGGCCTGGTCCCCAACACCCGGTCGAAAGGGGGCCCAAATTTCCAGTGCAAACCCACACGCTGACTTTGGTTCATCCATGACTGGTGCCACTTAGGGGAGGGGTTTAAAAAACAAATTCGGAAAGCAAGTAACCTTTCTAAAACCCCATATTGACGATCACAAAGTATTGAGGGGTAGTAAAAAAAATCTGTCATTTGTCTTGAGTTTAAAATTGCCCCCATGGGAACTTCCCAGTGTTTGACAGGAGGGGACACGGTCTGTAGTTGCTGATTTCTCTCTCGCTCTTCTTTTTGGGGAAACCGGGATTTACAATTGCCTTTTTTCCCATGGAGAGGGCCATTTCCCACGTACAAGGCAGGCTGAAAGTTTGCGAGTTAGAGGTCTGCTAGTTTGGTTTGGCACATTTCTCAAAAAAATTTTGGGCTCAAAAAATTTTCTGGGCCCCCAGCCTTTTTTTGGGTAAAGTGTTTTAAGAAGGAAATGAAAACCTCCTCCTGCCTTAAATTGTCCCCCCTGACAGTTTTGAACACAGTTCTTTCAGCTGCCAAGGGGGGGTCCCTTGTGGATCCCGGGAAATTGCCCTTTTGGTAGCAAAGTGTTCAGCAAAGAGGTCCGCCTTCTCTTTACTATAGTAGAGGGGGTCCCCTTTCCCGTCGATTTAAAAGGGGGGAATAAGTTCTCAGGCGATAAAAAAATTTTTCTGTCCTTTTACCGGGCCCCCCAGGTTTTTGGGGCCTACCCTACCGATGCAAAATTTCTTTTTGTTCCAACTCCCATTTAGCAAAAAGGCCCACTTTTGAACATCACCCCTAGGGCCCCAGGCTTGCATGTGCAAGTTCCGTTATAAGGGGGTAGGATGTCTCTTTTAAACCCTTTGCCCCCCTTTGTAAATTAGCAAATAGCAGCCTCTCTACAACGAAAGCCAAACCAAGGCTGATCGTAGGCTTTGCACCTATTGCCCGGGGAGGAAAGTTTTTTTTCTTGTTGCAGATTAAGGGATGTGTCCCCGGGGGGCTTTCACTTTGGGTTTTCAACAACCCCCCCCGGGGGGAGCCCTTCCAGTCGGTGGTTTGGGGAGCTCGACCCAAAGGGGTGGCCAATTACCCCCCTTTCCCTAGCCCGGTTGTTTGGGGTGGAAACCCCCACCTCGTTCTGTTGGGGTCTTTAAATGGGGGTAAAAACACCCTTTTGGTCAGAAAGAACACTCTCTCTTCTCTCTCTCTCTTATCTCCCCCCTCTCCCTTTTTTTTTTTTTTTTTTTTTTTTTCACAGGGTTTTTACAAAAGGGTTTAAAGGG